AATGAACCACACTGTATCCTGAAGCTTATAATAAAATGTATTAGAATATTTTGTGAAATTAAATCAAAGATCCAAAACTTGAACTTACTCTGGAAGCTGTTTTCCTGAGCATCTTTGACATGTTAGTTATTACAGGTCAGGCCATTGGGATTCACTGGAAGTTCAGATATAACTACTGTCTAAATTACAGCTGAAATTTCAATTGCTTTTCACTAAGGGTCATGAAACTGAGCAAGGCATCAAAAAGTTCTGTTATTAGTCCAGATTATATGGAAAAGCTGAATGACTTTTAATGAATATACGAGATTGATATCTAAAAACTTTTTTTGTATGTGTGTGTGTGGCACTTTTACAGGTTTACCATCTATTCAGTTAAACTTCATACCTCAGACATATTTGTAAAAGGGGTAACACAGTCTAAAACGATATATGAATCCTCCTGAGCAGTAAGCAAATGTATCTGCACATTTAAATATATAATCCTCATCAGGTTTGCCATTTGTAGAATATTTTGCTGTGCTAAATTGTCTTTCACAAGACAAAATGGCAATAGTAGCAAAGAAAGCAAAACTAAACAGGGTGCTAAATTACAATTTATCCACAAACATTCCCACAGAAAATCTAAATTAATAAGGACTTGAAATAAAATGGAACATAGAAAAAGAAATTATTCTACTAGCAAAATAAGGCAAGAAAATGCAGTTGTTTTGCTAATGTTACTTTTCTCTGTGCAGAAAATTCCTCAGACAACTTATTTCCAACTCAATCTTCCAAAAGTTTTTCCATGCAAAAAGTCTCAAAAACAAGAAGCCTGACTTGTTGTTGTTGTTGTTAGAGAAATTTCTAACATAGCATCTCTGATAGCTTGGTTTCCATCTACTATTGTTACTAAGTAGATGATAAAGACTTGTTTCACTCTGAATAATAAAAACAAGCCAAAAAATCAACTACAAGATATCACAGGAGACACTGAAAGCCAATACAGGAATAAATTATTTCTAAAACTCACAGACCAGAACACCATAGTGGAAGTAATGTGTCACTGAGAGAGCGTTTTCAGACAGCCAAATATTTATGTGGACTTTTTTTTAAATGTATTTAAAAAAAAAAAAAAAAGCATACCAAATAATGGATAATGACAGTCTAAGCAAAATGTCAGCAGTTAAGAAATAGACACGACAAAATAGCTTTAATTTTTTTTTCTATTTCCTTAAAATATTTTACAGTTAATGTTTGAACTTAATGTTGTGACTCCTTATCACAAAACACTGCCTCAATAAACCATATCTTAGAACAAGGCTTTAAACATAATTAATCTGATCAATCTGATCATATCTATCATTTTTTTAAAGAAACTTGGGAAATTTTATGGAAGGTCTAGAATAGACACATTTTCCTCACAGTATGTAGTAATGTAGTATGTAGTAAGGACATAAGATTTACACAAATGGGAAGTTACACAATCAGTATTGAAAAAGAGCGAGTACTTCCATGATCCTCTCAGATATTCTAAGAAAAGTAGAATATTAAAAAGTAGAGTTGTCTAAAAGATTTTTATTAATATTATTTCCCATGTACAAAAAAATAAATCTGTCTGATTAAGAAAGAAACAGTTGAGAACTAGCTTGTGATCCTATATACTTCTGTGAATATTTGTGTACATCTTCCCATTCACAATGCCACTGTTATTCTTAGATCCAGCTGTTTTACACTCCTTGCCAGATGGCACTTTTATGTACAATTCTAATTAAGTATAGTATGTGGAACAGTACTGGAGAAAAGCCAGCTATTGAGCAATAACTACACTGATACCTTTGAAAATATGAACACCAAAAAAAGCCTAAACTGAAAAACATAAGTGAGCAGAACATATAAAGTAGCGAGACATGTTTTCACCTCATCATTGATCAGCTCTATCATTTTTATGTGGATGCTGAATGTTAAGGGAAAGAAATCCAATAAATGAGGTAGACTTCAGGAGATAGTGAAGTAATTAGAAGGCAAGCTATGTAGGACAAGTATTACATTTCTGTACCTGAAAGAAACAGCTCATATCTACGGTTGTGAACTGCATTTCACCCCAGAAGAGAAATCAGAAGCAGAGAAAAGAATATTCACTTCATAATCAGTTTCCATGCTACTGAAATTGCAAGAAAGTGAAAAAAGGGAGTTCTGAGTTAACAGTTTAGTGGAAAATTAGGAAGGTCTTTGTTAGTGCATTTTCTGGTCATGCCTAAAGATGATTATAGCAATTTTTTTTCCCCACTCTATTCAAGCCACTAGTGAAGTATGAAATTCAGATGTCAGGATGACAAAAGAAAAGAGGCAGTTCACCTCCATTGTTGATGTCAATAAAACTCAGAGGAGTAATTCCAAGTGCATGTGTTAAACCACCTTTTAGAAGCAGAAAAATAAACTGAACTGGACAGAGGAAGGAAGGAAGTTGTGGAAACTACTTATGTGCCGAAAATGAAAAAGTATTGCAGAAAACATGCTCTATGTTGTAGTGCTGCAACACTACAGCAAACTAGAGAACCAACTGAAGACTGTCGGTTTTACTCTTAAAATTGAGAAAATTGAGGCACATTTCCATTATTTTCTTATCTTGAAGAACTAAATTATAAACAATTTTAAAGGAAACATAAGTTGGAAATGAACCATTATTAGCATAAATGATGCTATCTTGTACAAAAGTAAATCGCTTTCTTATTAAAAAATCTTCTGTGTAAGTGCTATGATTTTTTTTTTTTTTTTAAAGGTCTTCTATTGAAAGCAAAATTAAAGACATAAAATGTCAATGCTTTGGTTATTATCCAAAAATTAATTATTTGGGTAATATTTATAGAATCCCTCTATAAACATTTTTCATGTTTAACTGCTATTGCTAGTACTGAAAAACCCCACTGTCTACGGAAACAGTATTTTATGAATGAAATGCTACAAATAAAGGAAGGAAAGAGGTTTTTTGTTAGTACTAAGTGAAACATTTCCTATCAGGAAGTGACAAGATTTAATTGTTAGGGATGCCAAGGTAGAAATTTCTCTTCTAAATGATTTTCCATTTTTAAAGACTGAAATATTCCATTAGTTACTAGCATGGAAAAAATGTTATATGCACATCTTGTGGCACTAGGAGACAATGATTCAGATCAGTGGCATGCAGGAAATAAAAGCATGGAGTTTACACTCCTCTCAGCTGTAATGAAATTTGTTTTGCCAGCCTGTTTTGCCATTACTTATGCCATTACTTCAGTTGAGGGAACAATAGGTAATATATGCAGGACTGGCCTTACTGAATTCCTCATTGTCTGTCACTGGAACTAATAATGACAAGTCTTTGACACAAACCACTCTTTTTCCTTCCCTCATCCAAGAAAAGGGTATTGTAAGCTGTTCCCATCTTTCTTGAATGCTGTTTATTGTATGCATGAAGTTATGTAGGGTTTCTTCAAGGATATAGCTGACCATTGTGTCTAGAAAACTACTGGCAGATTAGGAAAAAATTATTTTATTCTGGACAAATGCTTACACTAGTAGTCTTCAGCTCTGTATAGAAGACTTGATTTTTGTCACTGTACATGTGAGATCAAATAATGTCTAAGTGTCCATAGCACAGGCTGAATACAGCAGCTATAGAATGCACTGTCAAGAGGAATCACACGATCACATATGTCACTGTCCAATATGCAACTAGATCACTTATAGGCTAGAACACATTCTCCACTTTCTCAGTTATTTTATAAAGGGGATTGCAAGTCTTCCTCACTTCTCACCTTCATCATTTCAAACTTGACAAGATCCTAAAAGGAATTACTTTTACTAATGATACACTTAGGAATCTAAAATAACCTATTCTGTTTGACAGTTTTGACATGGATATGTAGAGCACCCTGAAGTTTTTGCACTGTGTTTTAAAAACACCTTCAGAAAAGCTTAGATGCTTCAATAGTAACATATTAAAGAAAATAATCCTCCTATGAAGGGGAAAGAAGTATTGTCCATATTTCAAGGAATTTCACAAAAGTACTTGGATTTTTCCTCTCCACAAAACAAACAAACAAATCTCTAACTTTCTTGTGTTATGCTTGTTTTATCTAGATTACAAAGGTATGGCTTAGCTGTTGCAGAAAAGTTAAGCCTAAATGTAGTTTAGAAGAAAATGTTCAAGACCTTTGAAATACTGTTTGTACTTCAGAATATCATCCTCTCAAAATAGTAAATTCAAAAGAGTAGCATTTTATTAAATCACAGGTTTCTTCTGCTTTAGACTACTGTTTTATCTATTTCACTAGTGCCAGCATCAAGGTTGGTCTAAAATGAGGGTAGAGGATGAATGGGACCAAAGGAAGGATATTCCTAGTTACATTGTTACATAACATCTCCTTTAAGGTCAAGATGAAACTTATTGCCTGGTTAAAACCACAACACGGTATTATAATGTTGGTGTGTCAACACATAATTAAAAACATATTCAGATTTGGAAAATTTTAGTGTTCACCTTATCTAGGGAGGTATCTTTTAAATTCAGGAGGTGAAAATCTGAAAGCAAGAAACAGTGCTCATGCTTCATTCAGAAGCTTTCTGTTCTATTCAGAAGCATTTCTGTCACTGTCCTGAATTTTTTTTTCCTGCTGCAAGCTAATTTTATTCACAAATATTCTTCCTCTATGTTTATTACTGTAGTCTTGAACATGAAAGATTCTACATATGCCCAATGAACATAAAAATTTCACAACACTATGTGTTCTCTCAATACAAAGAAGCACAGTTTTTCTGCCTATGCTTTCTACAAATCCAATGTGAATATGTTCAATCCAGTTTACATAAGATCTTTTTCCCATCCTTGAGTTATTTGGTAGACCATGCAGTATTACAGAATTCTTCACAATCTGGCAATGAGGCCAAGCTCAGAGTTGAAGTAGATGAATGGAGCAATATGAAGACGTGTAAGAAAGACGCTGTAAGAAAGGAGGGAAAGAAAAATGTACAAAAATACTCACTTTGATGAATCTATGAAGTATATTACAAGAGCACCAATACTAAGAGCGAAGACTAAGACAACCTACAAAAGAAAAGAGCAATTATTAAGAGTGTTAGAGTGAAACAGTTATCATTCTACACATCAACATACACAAGCAAAAGACAAGGAAAATGAATCATAAAATAACATTATTTGTATTTCAGCTGTCACTTTCTTTATGAAAACTAATCCTACTTGAATTTCTAACAGTATATATTATTACAGAATGCTTTCTTGTGTTGAAAAGTAGCCACAAACAAGTTGAAGCTCTTTTCTGGTCAATCCAGATTACAAATAAGTCCTAGGTCCTAACTTCTACTAACGTAGATTCTTTAATTTCAAATGGCTTGTAATACCAGCACGTGGCATTCAAGTCACAGCACAGCTTTTATAGAACTGGCCTTGCTCTTAGATTATACTGTTTTTTTATTATCTATATACATGATTGTGAAATCCACAGGTTAAATGTAAGGCTATGTAAAATATATATATTCTCTAGGCAATCACTTCCATTGAGACAACTAATTATTAAATAGCTTAAAATAACAGCAGGTACACAAACAGAGCACTCTGTAGCCCCATTATCTCTGCTTTAAATTTGTTGATTTTTTTTAAACAAATGATTATGTTAGATATGGCATCCAGTCTTCATTAGCAATGTAGAAATTGCTTTTTTGGCTAACATAGCAAAAACTGGATTCATCCCATCTCCATCTGTCTGTAACTTTATTTTCTCCAAACATAAAGCCAATACAATTGTCTATTCTACTGGCTGTGACAAATTCTCTAGTAGCATGAGAACATTCAGTTTCACATCCTACCTGAAGTAGGACAGCATAACTGAAATGTATGCACCCTAATTTTGAATTGAAGAATCATGAAGTACACAAAGTTTGTGAATCCAATGTAACTCAGATGTCTGATATAATAAATCTGGGTTTATGTCTGTTGAACAATACCATCCACAGGATAATTTGGAACCTGAAAACATGGATACAATTAAGCAATTTTTATGTGCTATACCATGATTCTGCAGGAAAAAAATCAGAAAAGATCTCTGTCTGTACACTAAGAATGAAAAACAGATGGAAAATTATGTCTCCTGAAACTTTTATCTGATTTGCTTGTCTACAGAAACAAAACGAAATGTCCTTTGGTCTTTTGGCAGCCTTAAGTAGCTGCTTAGATGTAACATCCTTTAAAATAAACCTAGAGAATAGATAGCTCAGGACTGCAGAGTGCAAGGTACTAGTAAGTGGACATGTAGCTTCTCACATTTTCAGTTAAAATACATCTTCTTAGGTCAGTAATGGCTAAAAAACACAACATCTAAACAAGTACATTTGTTAAATGAACTAATGGTGTCATTCCAGTTCTGACTGAGCAGATTTATTCATCTCTTTGAATTTCACAACTAATGTGCATTATCACCGCAATTGCTACTTTTGTTGACAATCTCAACTGTTCAAGCAACAGATGAGCAATGAAACAAAAATTTGTTCACCCAGTAAAGGCTTTAGACCTAGAAGTTTTCACTGGAAATTATTAGTTTTCATTTAGCTAATGAATACAGAAATTAGTTCTCAAAGACTGTCTCACGCAATCCTTGAACCATTCATGATTCAATAACACCTCGTCTCCACATGAAAGAATTTGGAAGGAAATTCTGTTCCAGTTACTAATTTCTTTATAACTATTAAACTAACTTAATTTTTTTTTTCCACCTCAAAAAAACATGGTTTTGTTTGCTTTCTGTGCAGATCTTTCTTTTTTTCTGCATACTAATCAAAATACAGTGTTCTATACATGAAGACTACTTTTCACCGAGTTTCTAGGAAAGGATTTTCATTTTATTAGAAAATAAAAAGTACCATTTGTTTTAAAGAGCAAGACACCACCAAGAGAAGAGATTATCTTAATAACTACAATACTTTACACCTTTTTCTGAAGCTGCCATATTAGGAAGGAGGTTGACAGTCATACTGCAAGCAATACATGAGAACATACAATTTGTCAGTTCTAAGCAGACCTACTAAAATGGTAATTTAGAAGTTTTTGTACCCTCAGCTATTACTCAGTACTGTAATTACAGTATCTGAAGTAACATGTGATCATAATTCTATATTAAACCATTGAGTTCTGCACGGCCAAAATCATCAAACATGCCTATATATTCCAACAGAAATATTGAAAAAATTATGTCATCACTGCAAATTGTTAAAAAATTCTATTCAACTTAAAGCTTAGATTCATTTTTCATCCTCTTTATATCTTACACTTTATAATCTTTTTTTTTTCCTGAATGTCTGAATGAGCATTTTACCCGAGTATCAGTACTTGTTGTCTTATCTGACCCTTTATCATAGAATCACAGAATATCCTGGGTTGAAAAGGACCTCAAGGATAATCTAGCTTCAACATCCCCTGCCATGGGCAGGGTTGCCAACCACTAGATTAGGCTGCATTTATAACCCAAGTCAGTCAGAACTCAGTCAAATTCAAGGAATGAAGCACGAAGCTCTTCAAATATCATTTTGCTACTTAAGTTTCAAAGTGTTAATATCTGCAGTTTGAGTGTTCTTTCATTAAGCTGCATTATTGGTCAGATGTGTACAGGTGTTTTAAGATGAAATAAATTATTAAAACCATATCAGCATCTGACAAGATATTAATGTGGTGAGCAGAGTTTGTTGATTCTCATCTGACAATATACAGCAACTTCTGATTTGCAGTGATCCTAAGTCCTACATTTCTCAGAACAAAGATCCTGGGGATTAAACTGATAGTAATTCCCCATTTCTCCCATCTCCACAGTATTCTATGCCAGACACAATCACAGAGCTTGCGCTTGAATCAAATTTGCCATCTAGCTCTAGAATTATTTACTCTCAGAACATTTCAAGTGAGATTTGTATGTTTTCTTTAAGAAACATTGTTAACCAAATTGCTGAAGCCCCTGGGAGTACACTGCTTACATTTTTGGCCCAAACTTCTTTTAAACGTAGTATTTAAATATTATCCGCTTTGAAGTGCCTAATGGTGATTTTTGATCTCAACTCTGTAGAATAACTTTTAAAGTAATATACTGTTATAACCATTACAAAAGTATCTCCTAAACAATGACAACAACAACAAAAAAATTCCAAAACAGCAATTTTGATATAAAGAATGTTAAAACTATCTCATTTAATGATGAAAATGAAATTTAAGAAACTAATCTTCGAATCTTATGGGGACCCTATGACTGTTCTCACTCTTTCAAGTACTGCAAACTAAGCAAGAGAAGTAGGACTTAAGATTTTCTATTTTGCTTAGTAAGTAGTAGGTCACAATATTCAGTCACTGCCTATTAGCCAAAGGAGACCTCTGGAAAAAAAAAAAAACAGCATAATTTTATACCAGCATTGCATTTTCATTATATCCAGTCTCTTCATAATCATCACTATGTGCTTAAATAATGTTTTACGTATCCTGGCTATGCATTCTCCCAAGATGCTTAAGTAATTTAAATGTTCTGTGACAGTTCATATTACTGGCATCAAAATGTAAATACCTAAAGAATATTTTGTAAGAAACTCCACATTCCCATGCTTCTCCAGTTACATAGTACAAAGCAACTACACCGCTTGCCTATTGTAGAGTACTGCAGATAAAGGTTTATTTCCTCTTTTCTTATCCCAGCACAGATACCTGGCACTACAATTCATAATGTCCCCCAGAATCATAGTGCCTCAGGAGAAAATGGAATCTTAAGTTTCATTTTTAACCCACTGGCAGAGAAACACACTTTTCTTTTGCTAAGTGAGACATCAAGATGAACTTGAACATGCCAAGTGTTTGGGAGAAGTAAGATCTAAATCAGGTTAAAATTATATAATAATAATAATAATAATAATAATAATGTCCTTCCATGATAAATAAATCTTTTTGATAAAATCTCAAGTGCAAAAGTTTTTAGCTGTATTCCTACCCACAAATGCTGAATGCAACCAGGTTATTTTGAATTTACGTCCTTGACATCGGCTTTTGGGAGCCAATGTCTATTTACAATAACTTAGTATCTTTCAGAAGAAGTACAAACCTAGACAGACTGATAGCCCAAACCCACAATAACTAGAACCTACAGGAAGAAAAAAGCTTGCATGCATGTGAATTATTGCCTCACTTGTTAAGTAGGCCATGGGGAGAAGCTTGCTGGCTTTGTTTATTATTCCAATGCATTTGGCACAACACTTCAATTGCTACACATCTATTATAGCTTTTCTCTGGAAGGAAAGAATCTTTTAATTTATAATAAATTACTGTTTGTTTAAGACTGAGAAACATGAAGTCATATGCTAGCAGCTACATTGAGTACTTAAAGCACTGAGTTAAAAATAAATATAAGTGTGATTAAAAGAAGGGGTGAATAAACATGGAATAGTTGCTGCATATCCTTAAATCTTTCTTTAAAAACAAAATAAATCCAGCTAGAGTTCAACAAAAGCATACAATGCCTATTTTAAGCAGAAGTCAGAGAAAAAGCAGAAAAAAATCAACTTAAAGAAAAATAAAAGAGTTTTGCTCTCCACTACTACTGAGTTGCCCCAGAAGAACTTTGTTCTGCTGAGATACTTTATCAATCCTCATTAGGAACAACCACAGAAATTAAAAGAAAAGAAGAAATTAAAGAAAAATAAAAAAGGACATTTTATAAGTGTATAGTAACATGAGTTGCAGAGAAAGCATAAGCATTCTGCAAATACTATTAGAACGAACCCATGATAACAACAGTGGAGCTCAGCACACTTTCCAGGACTAGGCCTAAATAACAAAAGGAAGAAAATGACGATGATCCAAAGGGTGGCACTGTTTCTCCTACAACTGCTTTGAACTACTATCCCTGTATCACTGAAGAAGCATGGAAATGCTGTTCACATTAGAGAAAAGAGAGATAATTGTTACATACACAGTAATGGGTAAATTAAAGATTCTACAGTGGGAACACTTTATCGATGTCAGCCTTGCAAGGAATGCACCAGAAACAACATACCAAATATCTG